CGTTACACTTTTTAAATTTTATACTATTGGTATTTTTTTATAAATATGTACATGATAACTGCTTTAGAATTATCAATTATGTGTTATAAATGTATAGACGTATTGTACAAATACAAATATCCAGAATGTTAATTTACTGTACTACCTATACTGTGTGTACAGGTATAAGGTATACATTTTTAATAAATGTGCCAAGCTAACAAAGAGTTACGTCATAAAATCTAACATACCTACTAAAGCATTAATAATATTATGCACTAATACCTATATTTGTTCGTTAGTATAATATATTATAATATCTATGTGCAAACTATCATCGTGGTCATTATCATAAACGGTCTAAACAGTGACTTTGCAAACACGGACTTTCATTTTTTTCTTGCTAATTACTGATTGGGATTTTACTTTTGAAAATGTAAGTAAGCTACATTACAGGTATATATATGGACTATAGTATAATAGTCATCGTCATCTCATATATTGTATGAAATTTATCTGGACATTAACGTTTATTCCTTCTAAATGTATATGGCAGTAGAAAGCGAAATCATTTTGAGCAAGTATATATTGCCTACCTTATGTTATATTAAAATTAATGTAAGTTGGTACTAATTAGTTATTGTTTATGTTATTTATGTGTTTTTTTGAATATTCTTGCTAAGACTACTATGATAATTAGTCCTACCTAATATTTAATAATATTTCGGAAACATCCTTTGAACTTTCCTAATAATTACTACTACTACTACTATTACTACTACTAATAATAATATTACTAATAATTTATTAGTTACAAGGATAATATACATTATTTTATTTTGCTTTTACTGTTTATAGTCGAGAAATGGTGACTTAATTATACTATTACATTTAATCACGCAATGGTGAATGTGTTACGGAATTCAATATTTTATTGATAAAGTGTATTATAGTCACTTGTTGCTTATTATTGTTCTGTGGTGTTACAACCTGTGGATTTTTCTACGATGTCTGGGAGATTGTATAACGCGCTATACAACCTCCCATAGCACAAGTTATTATCAATATTTTTTTATCAAGACTTGGATCTTTAAAAGGTTGATAGTGATTACTTATCGAAACAGTGCGATGTTTATTGTTTTTGTTTTTTAACTTATTTAATATATTTAGTTTGTTTTTAGTTGTATTATGTTTATGTAAGTAATTTTCAATTTATTACTTAACGCTTGTTTTTTGGCTTGTCACATTATCATATATTTGGCACTTGAATCGTCATTATTCTGCACGTCAAAACAATTGTACGTGTGTCATAAATAATTATTGCGAAATACATCGGGTTCATGGATAATACAGTTTTTGCACGTATGCTTATGATAAATATATATTGTTCTATGGCGTATACCTTGAATAATATACAGAAATAGGTAATAAGTATCTTTACTTTCACTTAAGATTGTGTTTAATGAGAAAGTTGCAATAAATCTGAAAAAAATTAAATACAGTTAGATAAGTTTTGTTTCATCTATTTGTGTATATGTACCTATAACTTTACTATGTAAATATAAACTCTAAATGTATAGTTCAGTTATTAAGTGATACGTTAATATATGGATATTGGGTAGGAACTTTAAATCAGATAAATATTTATAATTTCAACATTGCATCACTTGAAAGTATCTAGTCCGATCAGTTCTTGGTCAGAAATTACTTTCTGGTTACTTAAAACAAAACTTATTTATACTTAAAACGCAAGTAAAATTTCTAAAAAATTATATTTTTCAAAACTTTGACAAACTCTTCTATGTACTATATTTACTTTGGATTTCGTCTTTAAATAAATAGACGCAAGTATTTCAACAGCTAATCGCGGCTAAGACCTTAGATCTACGAACCCTACCCCATCATATATCCGTTATAAATACAAAATATAGAACGTATATTGATAGTAGGTATAGGAACTCTAGTATATTATGAACATTATTTAATTTTAAGTACATTAAGTATTTACTAATAGAGTCTATTATCTATCATAATTTGTACGTATATGTACCTAAATATCTTTCTATTTTAATAAAATGTTCGCACATACCAATTTGAATATTATATGTCTTATTGATACCTATACAGTTTTTGGATAAAATATGAACTTTATAACGTAAGATATATTTATTGATCTAAGAAATCTTTACGAATTTCTATCACTTTGCTTTTATAATTTATAGTCCCTCATGTGCCTCTATGTCAAGTCTAAAATTTAATTATTTTTTCAATTATATAAGAAGATAATTAAAATCGTCTGTGATAGTTTCATTTTCCATTTTAAAATTAAATTTGTAAATAGTGTTTATGCCATAACTAATCATTTTACATCGTTCTTAATTGATATTAAGATGTACTGCTGCTCCTCACAATCGTTTTTTGAAAAAAAACTTATATAGTTTAAATTGTTTAAGAATATACTTACCTAGTTTAATTTTTTTCTTTAGGATTTTAGCCCATCTATTTTATTTAACATTTTCCACATTAATAATTCCATAAATGTCTTTAAAGTATTGACACAGGCTGCAGAATAAATTCCTTGCATATTTTAATACATATCAATTACCAGTTTACACATATTTTGGATTTTTTGTTATTGTTCTTTAGTCGATTGGACTTTTTGATTACATTCTAGTATTTTATATTTTGTTTTAAATCTCTCAAATTGTCCTGGTATAATAATTAGTCATTGCACGTAAAATATATTATTTACGTGCATACTATATCTTACGTATATCACTTGATATTTAGCCATTTGGGCATAGTTTGTCAAAGTAGTACGCAGTCCCGAAATAACAGTGGTATTATATTTATAAAAGTGTTTAGGTGCAACGGGATGTACAGTTATCGGCTTTATAATATAAAATTACGTGACCCACATAAGATATTATGTAGCCGTCGATCGATTGATCACAGCCTCGTCGCGGACAATACTACGACAGTTGGATAAAATAAATACTATAGATTCTGTGTGACGACGCGTTCTTCTTTTGATTAAAGTATATACATATAATATATATGTATAATGTATATGCTATGAATAAATTTAATGACATAGCATACCCCGTAAGTTTTGTATGTACATTGTACATACAAGTATACAATACTTGTATAGTTGTATGCATGCAATGTTGTAATGATAGATGCTCTTAGATCGCTGTGAATTATGGATTGCAGTGTTCTTCATATACCATGCGGCATCTGTTATATAAGGCAACGGACTGAAAGGATTATATAGGACAAATGTTCATAGTTTGGCAAGGCCTTATATGAGTTATATGATCAGTGTTTGACTTGGGAAAAAGTGGTAGAGGTACTCTAGGTCCTTTTAAAAAAGTATCCTAGTTTTCTTAGTATTATACCTATCATTACAGTGGGGTGTTTCGCCTCCTCCCCCACACCCAATGATCCTCTAAGAAACATTACTTAATACAAAACAATGAAACACGTATCAATGTATCAAACAAAACAAAATAATGTCATACTTTTTTAAGGGATAACTTGTACTTATCAAAACCTATATCAAACATTTACAAAAAAATGACAAACCTATTTATGTATAAATTAGGTACTATTTTATAAAAGATAATACATAAATAATAATACATTTATAATATAATTTTACTAGTCTGATGATTCTTTGTTAATAAGCGTTTTATTTTTTAGACTTTTGTTTTGATGTCATTAGTAAATGTGCCTAAGAGAGTGTTATTTTAACTTCTAAGTAGTTATGTTGTGTAGATATTCTAGAGTTAAGGAGAGAGGACATCTTGCCTTATCGTCTTAGTATATACATTAACAAATCTAACATACATACCTTGTACAACCTTTGTGTATGGGATATATATATAGATTTAGGACATACGTATTTATCAAAGAGAAGAAAATAAAACATTTTATATTTTTACATAACATATAGGTGTTAGGTGTATTAATGTATTATAGATTGTTGAAAATACACATTCCGATCAAACTCTAGTGTATATTTTATGGAACTCCAAATAAAACTTGGACCTTGTTATTATATTTCTATGCGGTCATTGAAATTGCAGAAAGCGAAAGCTCTTTTCGCTCTCTAGCCTCTGCGTTATAATTACGGTTTGTTTACGTATTATTATGACTTGTAATATCATCTAGGTAGTCATTATTAATCAGTAGCTCATGTGTCCAGTCTGTTCGTTTATTTTAAAAAAACAATCAAATGGTTATTTTAAAGGATACGTGTAATATATATTAATATATTATACATTTAATTGTTTTACAACCGATAAATGTTTGTCGATAAACCTTAAACGTTATTTAATTGCCCTTCTCTGTTGTTAGTTTTAAAATTTTAACGGACCAAGGCATATAATATTAATTTACATTTTTTTCTGAGGATAAATTCGGGCATCTCTGAAAATTGTCTACTAGTTATAGGTAGGTACAGTTGTACGGATTTTACTTTGAACACATAAATGGTAGTTCTTAAAGACGGTTTTATTTTGAGATCTTAAGTAACTTGAAAATAGTCTCTCCCAATTATCGTGCTACTCAATTTTTTTTTTAATATTCAATATTATTGAGTTTTTCAAATTAAATATTGTATTACATGTTTATGTATTTACGTTTTACGTGTATGGGTTGGCGTTTGACTTTGTACATTGTACGTTATAAATTATGATGAAATAGGATATATTTATGCGATATATAAGATATAACACTATAATATATTTATATAGGTATATTAATAAACATTAGTTTCACGTTGAAATAAAATAAAAATCGTATAACGATTATTTTAGTAGTAGCTATACCTAATATGGTACCTACCACCTATACCTATATACAAATATGTACTATATGATGTGTTTGGTGATGGTGATGAGGATTGCCAGGGAGAAGGTTAGGGCTTGTACAGTCGCCACCGCTGACCGTTATCGTTTCGACCAAAAGTTTTTACTCGGGGGGGGTGCGGAGGGGAGACAACGGGCCAGCGCGCGCGCGCATTTTGCAATTGTCGCTCACGCATGGTTGCTGCGAGCGCGCGCTGTTGCACATGTCCCGACGACGCTCAGTCCGCCGCACATTGTCGATAATCGCGCGTTGGTGTACGGTACATCATAGTCAACGAGTCGCACTATTCTTGTCCTCCGTCGCTATTTTTCCGCGTCCACATTAGGCTGTATAATATCATAGTATTACACATAGGTAAATCATCATTATTTATTCCTGAAAATATTGGTAAATTATTCTACCCACACGCCTCCGCGACGAAAACTCATGCCTATAGCACAAACTCTTAATAATCTTATAAATCACACTTAGAATTGCCGGTATTACGGCAGCAATACAATACATTATACAATATCGTATAAAAGTGTACTATTCCGTTGCTTATTCGTCTTTATTCCGTGTTTATATTGTTGTTATTAGCCCGTGGTGAATTAAAGTCCTGCCGGATCGCGGAGAAGAAGATTGAGACGCGACGGCCAACTTCGCTGCCGCCGCCGTTGCAGAGATGAGTGAGACCAAACTGTTGATTGGCAGCGATATGATCGCGTCTAAAGACATGCTCAACCCGTTCGTACACCATCTGGAGCTGACTTCCACCTACGACAAGTTTAAGGTAAAAATGTTTAGATTTTTAAAAAAAATTTGAATTTATAGTAGTTATAGATACTTTACTAAAATTAAGGCTTGGGTGTAGTGATGGCCGATAGCCACACACCATGTAAGCACAGTTATAACTTTTTTTTTTCGTTTATTATTTTTAAAATGTTTCAGCACATTCAGTGCTATTACAAGTACGATACATTACAAGTTATACCTTCAAAATACCTTTTGTACAATCGGTTACGCATTATGGTAGTTATTATAATTGTGCACTGTAGTTGTCATTAATTTAATAAAGCAACAGTTTAACTAACAATTGGATACAAATTAATTGAACATATTTATAATAATGATATAATTATACAATTAATTTAACTATAATTAATAGCTAAGACTGCATTTATTTTTTACTAAATGTGGATAGTTATACTAATAGTGACTATATATCGATACAATTGATCATTCACTGTTTTTCTGTGTACCTTTGCGAATAAAATATGTTTAAGAATATTATATATTATTTTGTTATTGTATACCACTTTTCTTTTGTAACTTGGGCTTACGCCTAATAATATTATTATGTATTTTATTACAATCCACTGCAAGCATAATACATATTATTTATTATTTTATACATACTATATTATATCGTCCACGAGTAATTTAATTGTATGGTGTATCGCGTGTTATTATTGTCTGTACACATGGTTATTAATTGGCATAAAACATTATGTGTACCTAGTGTCGTATATTTTATATTATTGTTTTCTCATAGTTGCTGAGCTCTCGTATAAACTTCTCTTTGCTGATCGTTAAATGCATAATATATTACAACAATTCATAAACATACACATAAATTACCTAAACCTGCAGCTGTTTTGTGGGGTTTGCGATGTTCTAATCGATTGCAACGCCAGTGAGCTAAATTCGTAAAATAAAATGTTATTCCATGTTCCATAAGAACGATTTCTTTCAAATTATCGGTTTTGGTACCTAAATATTTTACTCGCCCTTATATTTACACAATTAAATTTGCAGAAATATTTTGATCGCCCTATACAATTACTAAAACAACAAAATAAAACTTTTTTTGATCGAGTCAAACTTGATGCTCCGGTATTAGAAAATACAGCCCGACGACAACGAACGGGTTTAGCGTTCAGCACCCCATGAGAATATTGCGTTCACTTTAATTATACCTACGACCTACCTATACCTTTTACAACTACTGAAGAAACAGTAACCACTTATCCCTATGCTAATAATTCTATAATTCTATGCGAAATTTAAACTCGCTGAATCATCATTTTTGATACAATGGCTATAGCTGTAATTACTAAAATAGGTAGTAGTAGTAACGATTTTTCCATTTCGAATTTTGATACCATAATATTTACTATTTAATATTCTACGAAACCGAATGTGATAATTTTAGTTTATTTGTTGTATATAACTGAACTCTTTATTGCGCGTTCATAGTTCACACTATAAGTAAATACATATTCATATTTTTTTGATTCTTATACTACATCAACGCAATTATATGAGGTACATTTCCGTTAATATCGTCGCGTATCAACAACACACCTACCTATTTCACTATCTATTTATTCCGCGGAAGTAAACATCCGTTATTATACAGTCATTACGCGTACATAAGGATTCGGTTAAAAAACTTTCTTTAAAGACACACGTTTTTCATTATATACTACACTTAATATTAAATGGGGACCTATAATCATATGGTTGTCGGGTGATAGTATTATACGTTTACTATTATTACGTTACAGGATTTAAAACAAAAAGTGTTCGTTATGTTTTACGTCAATCAGTTATACTATATAATATGTACATTTAAGTGTAGTTCTGTAGTAGTGTGCAATTTCAAAATCGGCGTACAAACGTCATGGGAGTTTTACTGGATGACAGCCAGGATGAATTTTTACTCGTATGTAGAGTTACCATAGGTGCCATAGGTACACGCTGCAGTTTAGCAACCAGGTAGTTTTTGTGTGTGGTTATCATTCCGTGACGTAACTCTGATTTCTACGGAAGTGTATTATATACTATCGCAAATACATCATGTTGTAATTTACAGAAGTGTATAATATATATAAATGCGGAGAGCGATTTTCTCAACTAGTTATTATTTATTCCGAGCGCAGTGTGCGTGCAATTTAGTATATGATAAATATATGCGTGCGTAGTACTAGGACTTTGACGATGAAGTCGAAATATGTCGTGGTGTTGTTTTCTATTATTTGATTATACAAGTTTTGGTTGTTATATTTATATCCTGGTGGAGTTTTGACGCTACATAGATAATTAAAGACGCGCTTAAACGTCGGAGGGCTGAGATCTGGATTAAACAAATTAAGCATTCACGAATTATTGTAATATTAATTATATAACGTCATAAGATCTAAACATTACTCTTTAATTACCTATTTTATTAGTAAAAAAATTAATGGATATTAGTATAGGGAATAGGAAGTAAATATGTATACGTAGGTTTTATTTTGAAGAAATCCATCATGTGTCTTATATTGTGTAGTATGTTTATCCTATTGAGATAACAATACTCGAGAAATCATGTTCAAATGTGTATTAATTTTTGTAATTCTTACAGACACGTACTATAGATTATAGAATTATACCTTAAAGTAAAAATATTATAACTGTATTTACTGTTTAAAAAAAAATATATAATATATATATTTCAACAAAATATTCTAATTTTATATTAAAATAGTATTTTATTTATTTATTGGAACAAAAAAATTTAAAAAAAAAATTTAGGAATAATAGGTAACAAAAAAAAAACATCAGTAGTATAGGTACATGTTCGTACAGATTAAAAGGCAAAAACAAAATTCAACTCAAATTTTCAGAAATAAACGCATTGAAATACTAAGATATATACATATTGTATATTATGTAAATATTTAAAATAATAATCAAAATAAAACTATAAAGTTTAAATTTGATATAGTTAACGAGTATTAAAAAATAATTGTACTAATGAGTCACATTAGGTGATTAGGTACTATTTGTTTCTTGCGTGCATACAACTGTTGAATAATCATAAATTATGACTTATAATTTTTATCAATATAATTAAAATACCGAAAAAACAATTTTAAGTTAAATGTTAGAATAGAATTATCTAACTCAAATGCAGGTTGACACTCATTAAACATGAACTTGTGTTTTAATACATATGATACTTTAACTAGTTTGTCAAAATATTGATTAGGTACTTTATCTATTGTACGTAATGTGTATAATTGTCATTAATTGCTAATTTTTATGTTTTTATTTGTACCCTTTTCAAGTACATAAACCTAATTCTATAACACTCTGAGTGACTTGTAAAAATGTATATTGTATGCGTTTGAAGTGTTTGAACTAACACAAACCTATAGAGCTTTGGTCTTTTGCCTATTCAAGTAGGTACCTATTTAACATTTTAGGTTATAATATACCGTGTAGAAGGTATACCTGATATTTTTGTGTCCGTCTCGACTTTAGTTGTCATGGTTATCAATACCGTTATTTTTTTTTGTGTGGGGTGGTACGGTAGGGGGTAATACCATTATTAGTTTTGTAAAACTATTATGTTTGATGGTATATTTTGAGCTTTGGCCTATACCCCCGTCAATATATTATATGATAGCGGTTAGATAGGTATATCATTGTTTTCAATATATTGTTTTATTGACATCTATTCGATTAAATATGTTGACACTTCTATATTCTATATAATATCTATTTAAAACATTTCGTAATTCAAACAGCCATTGCTTATAGTTTCAGTTTGAGTAACGTCAATTTAGACATTCCTAATCTCGTATAAAATACTAGATGTCTAGTATATAGAAGATAGAACCGGAAATTAGGATGATTATATGTATAATAATGTATAATAATAAACTGTTTACAGTACCTTAGTATGCTAGTAAAATATCTATAAAGACTAAAATTATTAAATTCGTAGGTATTTACATTTCGTTTACGTTCTTACACACATTATTATACATGTATATATATACAATCAATAACTATGTATACCGATATAATATTCTGTGTATAGTACAACGGTTGAAAAATATTATAAAAAACATATATGTATATAATATGATTCATGGGGTAACGTTTTCTCGCCTACTAGCTACGCTAAATATATACATATATGTATATTAATACTAAATATAGCATAATGTATTCACTGCATTCGCGTGGCATGTATTATTATTTTCAACTCTAAAGTCTATATCGATCTCAAACATTGTGGTGTATATAATATATAACTTATAACTGTATAGGACATACGTATGTATAACATTTGTATACTATTATTGTGTGTAACCGTTTCGAACTTCCCGGCAATAGGACCTTTCGACTTCATTGATACGAACTTCAGTCTATAAATCGTTTGATGATGTACGTATTACATACACAATAAACATCATTACACACACCACAGACACAGGTCATGTGCGAGTATCAATGTGTAGTTCTCATATATTTTAAGTCTGTCAAATATTCATCGTTGAAGAATAAAAATTAAAAATCAATTGGGACATGTGTAAACTTTAGCATTGTGGACGCATTTTTTATTATAGGTAGATAAACATTTTATGTCTCGTGAAAAAGATTTAAAGATTTTAGTACCTCGATTCTTCTGTTTGAAATTATATCCAGTGAACTATGATGATATAGTATACCATAAGCATGGTACATAGATGCATATCATTATAAAAAATAATATATATTTATGAATATTGAATTATTATAAATATTAAGAAAGCATAAATGTTTGTTTTTTTTACTCTGTGTTACAAATATTAAATATACCTAGCTGACATCACCCTCGCAAAATAGTCCTAGTTACCTAGTCTGTCCTTAAACGTGGTGGAAATTTATGCCGATAGCCTGACAAACACATTTCGTATAGGTACTCTGTAGATATAAACATACACAGAAATTACATACATTGTCGTGTTAAAGTTTAGACAATCGATTGAAGTGGTGTATTATCTTACACAGGTGCTCGTACGATAATAATAATTCTAACACAATAACAGTATCCATTGTTAATGTGGTTTCATATATGCGCATAATATTGCTTATGTATATTATATTCAATATGTATATATTATGTAATCATTATAAGTATATTATAGAAGGTTTATGTAAAATATCATGTACACTTACAACTCACTTATACCGGACGTCGTTGCACCGAGTGTTTGTCTTGTCAAATAATTAACTCGTTCGCGATTTTAATATTGGTATAAACACTAAATAATGTATATTATCAATACCGAGTGCTTTAAACTTTTAAGCGAAGATTGCGTTATGTTATCCTATATAATCTGAAATGTGAATGATATCATTAAATGTATTGAAACCTTATTATTATACATACAGGGTCGTATTTGAAATTGTATGCCCTGGGTCAACCATAATTTTACACTCCCCCCAAACAAAAAATAGATCCACTTTTTTGATTTTTCTTATCACATTTTTAGCTATAATTCTTTATGTTAAAGTCATGGTTGTCTATCTACAACCGTGGTTATGTTAAAATAATATGAATTATATTCTATGCTAGGCGCTAGCACTTACCTGTTATCGTTGTACTGTTAAGTTCACAAGGGGGTCGAGTCATAATATAAATTCTTTCCAAAAAAAAAAAATATTTATTGATACTGCACCGAGTTACCGCGGGGGGCCCGGCCGCCCCCTAAATAGATCAATATTTGGCCTCCCGGGGCAAATGTCCCCCCCCATTGCTCCCCCTAAATACGGCCCTGTATACATACTATACTGTAAAACCTTTTTATAACGGAATCGGTTGGTACCAACTGATTTTTTCGTTATATATAGAGTAAAGATACACGGGATTGTTATTTTCTGCTGTAAGATTTCCGTCTTACACTGGGTTCGTTACAAGAAAGTTTTACTGTACATCGTATAATTTATCATATAATGATTTATGGACAATTGTTTTAATATAAATCAATATATTAGTTATAATAATATGGTTTAAGTAGTTCGATAAGAAATATGATTAAAAAATAAGTAATTTATGTCATAATATTAAATATATTGGTGTGATGTATAAAAATGCACTTATATATTGATGAATGGATGTGACGAATATTTCTTTCGCAGAATATATCTATATAATATTATCATATTTATTCCTTGGTATTTTATTAAATATAGTTTGTTATATTTTACATTTTACATATTACATTATGTTAGGTCAAAATTCATACTATAAATTTATTACTGTAATATGCGGTGGCTATATTGAAAGATACCTCCATGAATTATATTACACCCAAATCGTGATAACTTTAAAAGTTAGATAAAAAATAGAGATACAAGGTATTTAACTCGAATTTAACCTAACTGAGCCTAAAGGGGAATAAAAATAAAATCGAGTTGTCAAGTTTTTCGAGCTATTGTGCCTCGACTGTATATATTAATTATATTACAACGTTTGTAAGAGTACTTATTTTAGTTTGAAACCTTCAACTTGTGTATTATACATCGGGTGCCTTTCATCCGTGATCACTAGAAATGTGTTTACGCATAGGTGGTGGCTCTATCCCTGCTAGGGGATATAGTTTGTCTACTGGTTTTGGCTTTAAGCATCCTGTTATAATGCTTACCGTTTCATTTAACGCCGTATCAATTTGTTTAGTGTGTATTGATTTACCACACCCTGGGTATGCATATTCAGCCACCGAAAAACATAGAGCTAGTGCAGAGATTCTAACTGTTTCGGGATGAGCCCCCACTTTGAGCTAACCAATTTTCGCAATAGAGATACCATTGATAAAATATAGTGTACATTTAATCAATGGTTATACTAATTTTAGGTATTATTATATTAAAATTACTTGTCTATATTCTGTTACTTTTTTGTAATATGAATTCTATACCTTTCAAACTTATCAAGGATATTAGCATTATACCACACAAACGTTCCTTAATGATGTTTCATGTAAGTACTTCCGATATAGGACCTTGGACATATATTATGCAGGATTATAATATAATTTAGTGGCATTTGAAGCCTTAGAACATATATGAGTTGACATAAACCTAGACGGAAATAAGACTTACCATCGGCCATTACTGATGTATAGGTACCTATATAGTAAGCAAAACATTTAAGTATAATTCGTACTACTTGTTCACCATAATCTGGTTTAAAAATGTCTATCATATAGTTAGGTTAGTTATTATCTGCTTTACCCACATATATTTTATTATTTGTATTATAATTTATAATTTATAATAGTATTGTTATTATTTGTGTATAGCCTACTCAATCCATATTTGTTATATGGGTACATAGAGAACTATAATATTAGTGAATAATACATAATTAAAATAAAATATGTTAAGTAGTGTCTCGTGTATAGGACATAGGTACTTTTCTTATTAGGCATTTTTACTCGTATTAGTAATTTACACATGTACCATCATTATTATTTAATAACGGAGCTTTTTTTTAATTTCAGACTGCATTTTTCACCATAGTTGTTCTACCTGTACGGATAGTGGCCATTTTGGTTTTGCTGTTTATAGCTTGGCTGTTAGCGACTATTGGTTTGACTGGTGTTAGTCAAACCGAGTTATCAGAGAGACCACTTACCGGATGGAGACGGTAAGTTTCCCGAAAACTGATCAAACCTATGAATTATCACACTTTTTCAGTTATTAAAATCATTTTTTTCGTACCTATTTAATACAAGTATGGATCATAGCCTAAAGGGGTATAAAGTACAAACCCGAACAACATAAGCTGAACACCGATTTTTAATTTGAACCGAGACCTTCGTCTTATTTCGACCTTATTTTTTTTAGTACAATATTTTGATTGGCATATGTTTCTATATATAACAGTACAGACAATAATACCTATTCACTCCTCACCATATTGAGTTTACGATTTAGAACGTTTATTATACATGTTCACGTATATACGCAGTGACTCGTCAATAATATATTATTGTTACCTTTAGCTATTTGAAATTTGACACGTTAGGCTATAATAAGTAATAACGCCCATTATTAATGTAGATACATTGAACAAGATTAATACCAGTTATTTTAAATATCTTAAATAATATCATAATGATCAAAAGTTTCACATGATTGATACAAAATATTTACGTTTTGTCAAAATCTTTTAAGATAATAATAACTAGATCATGATGATTTCTTAATTTTATTTTGTCTACAAAAACCTACAGATGCAGGAAGTGCAAAAATAAATCCATTTTGAATTTAAAACATATGAATATATGATATTTCAAAATAGTAGGTTCTTACCTTTCTTACTTTTCTTGCGGTCAAGAATATTATTTATTTATCGCTGGAGAATAATATTCAATAGAATATTATATAATATAATATGCATTTCAGGTTGTGGCTCAGTGTTTAAAAATGGTTTTGAATACACGTTTTATTTTATAATACAGTATATATATATATGATAAATCGAAATATATACAATCATAGATTATAATTATTAATGCAAGTAGTCATAAGATTATCAATATTGCTATCAATAATGGATTATATAATTTCTATTGTTGCTCTGTAATTTATTATATGAACTGCATTATAGATTCCAGTTAACTATTAAGGCATAATCAACCGATATTAAATATATTTAAAAATTTAAATAGATTTTTTTGCACTGAAACGTCGATTAGTATTATTTATACCTTACATAAACACGATATTTCATAAATATTTACGGTAGCAATAATCAATCAATTTGTTTGATCGAAATAAATTATGATTATTATTATTGATTCGATATATAATAGGCACTTTAGTTTTTGTTTCTGTGAAAGAATTTCAGAATTTAAATCGTTATAGAACAACAATAGAAAGGTGGATATTTGATAATTGCATGTTATGAGTATACATTATTCATATATTTTATTATTAATGTCGATTGTCCATGCTTAAAAGCTTTCTGCAATATACTATTTTTGTGTTCATTTGTGCCATACATTTCGTTCAAATATGTATGTTTATGTCTATATGTACTACGTATTATATATACATAAAATAATGTTATTTTATGCTTTGTATTTATCACACATATAATATACATAAATAAAAATGTTTAAAGAATGTTGGTATTATTATTATAAATTATAATAGTAGGTACATCCTTGATAGTTTAAAAGGGATGATAGTTTAAAAAAAATGAATTAATCTATTAAATTAATTCTATTGAAACTTTCTTACACTATTTCTTGTCGACTATAAAAAAACCTCATAAATTCAAATTATATCTAATCTTATGCTTAACATTTAAAAATAATTGCAATCTTTAATTTAACTATGTTTATGTTGGGTTCAGTCCAAGACCAACGTTTGAGGTAGGTACTAAACAGCAGTATTAATACGATTTTAAAATTATTATTAATTAATATTACTATTGTATGTGGTAAACGCTATATGATTTAAAAAAATAAATTTGTTCTAACAAATTGAAATATTTTATCTTTTTTTGAAGTCAATATAACAAAATCAATAGATCTATTTCTATTTTTTACCAAGGTATGCTGTAAATATCTTACACTGCATGGCCCATATCATATGTTCATATTTTGTATCACATTATAAAAGTGCATTTTACATTCTGTCAGGTATAACATATAACATTATAATTAGTTGTACTTGTGGACAAATAATTAAAAAAAAATGTTTTCGTGACATTTTTAAATAAATATTTTAAATGTTCGTAAAAGTTCATGATTTTATTTTATTAATAACCGGGCCAGTATAACATTCAATCTAAATTATTTCTGAATATAGACCTAGTTTTGATTTTAATAATATTTTAGTGTTCGGGCAACCTTGGTGCAGTACTCAATAGTGCAATACAAATATAGGTAGTTGACATTTTATATTTTACTCATTATGGGTGCATAATTGTATGTTATAAAAGAACAATTATTCAGTTTAACATTAAATATATTGCAAATAATGTTTACACATTTTTTATTTTGCGAAATGCCCTATTGAACGCTGACGTTTTTTGAGTTGGGAATAAAATATCGAAGTATATAATAATCCATTTACAACTTTTTTTTTCATACATTCAAATAATAATTATTACTTGTGTTGGGAATTGTTTACGAAAATAAAAAGTACAAAAATAATTATATTCAGAATACTTGAATACTTCATCTCAAATAGTCAAATGTATGATGTAAGCGAAATTGTTTTTGAATAAAAAAAAATATATTTAAATACATATTACATTCGAACACTTTAACAAAAATGAAATACATAGGTGCAGGTAGGTAGTATAATAATAATGATATCATCGTTTATGCAGTGATATATATATATTAACTTCAATTGCATTTTTGATCAGGAGTGACGTTTTTACTCCCCTCCTCTTACGAATCTAACGAAGTTAGCTCGGTTTAGGTTGGATAGTGATCTGTGTGTGTGTGTGGGTGTGGGGGGGGGGTAGTAGTAGTAAAATATATAGTAAAACATACAATAATATCATTATTGTGGCCTGTAGATATAGTTATACCTTTGAGTATATTTAATATATTATATACAATATGTACTCAATGGTTATAACTTATAATTATACTTTATATACATATTGTTTATGATGCACGCTTCACATGTACGTGGTGTTGGGCTTTTAATTGCGTTTTTAGCTGCGTCAGACGTGCGGTGTACGTGGTCGTCCGGCTTATGTTCGGGGCGGTTGGTTTCCATCGGGTCAGGACTGTCGGCGAACAGGCCACGCGGCAACAGGCACCCGTGCTGGCCGTTGCTCCCCACTCGTCCTTTTACGACGGGCTGGCGGCCGTCGTCACGGGCGGTCCAACCATCGTAGCTAAGGAAGAGAACTCGTTCATACCGATCGTAGGAAGTACGCGACGATCTATCCTCTTTATAATATATTATATTATCGTCTGCACCGTGTGACTTTGTTGTTGTATAATAGTATAATACATATAATAGTCGATTGTATGATTGGGCCTGGGTGGCACGCCGATTCGTTTTAATCTAAGGTTTAAAAAAAAAACTTGACTAATACTTGACAAAATTTGGTGCATCTGAATTGCATGCTATAATCACCATGGGCTATATTTTAATATGTCGTGATTTTATTTTTTTGTGTAATTTTACAAAATAAGTAAAAACTGTTAATATTATACGCTCCAGCGTTATAATTGATCATTTTTGTTCATTGTTTTTTTTTATCAACATCTGCAATTTGATGGTCGATGAACAATTTTTAGATTCCTCATGTGTCCCTTTAAAAGTATTAATTGGTGACCCATATTCTAGCCAATGCTGATTGATGTCTATAGCATGCAAATCGATTTAGCTAACTGTTTTTACGATTTCATAACGAGTTGAGTTCACGCCCATACCCAGTTATAACAATATAACACTTCGTTATACTTTACCCGTTGCGCATGCACTCCTGCGTCCATCCCTTGTGACTATGTATGCGTAAAATATGTATATTATTCACCTATAAGGCTATAACCGCCAACCGCAGTCCGTGTCTCGGGTCCAATAATAAAAGGCCCCGAACTAATAAACTTTTCACCACAATTTTCGGCAGTTGTGGTACGGCGGATGAAGTTTAAACATTATAAACAATACCCGCAATTCTATTTCTATCAATATTTAAAATTATACCCGTCCGTATGTTACACTGTGTAATATGTAAATCGGCCCTTAGAAATCATTACTCTTGTTAAATAATAAACTAGCTAGAGAAAAATTGGATTTATCGAAGTTGATGTATTTCTTACTAAGGTTTTCGTTTCTTACTCCGGAACTGGTTATATTAGACCCGAGTCACAGAACTATACAAGTTATATTAGTATGTATGTATCAATGGGTGTGTGTGTGTGTGTTAATTTTGTAACACATACATTGATGCTGTACTTGTAAATGTATAATAATATGTAATATGTATATAGATGTAGTGTAGTTATAGTGCAGTAGTTAGAATTCATACTTGCGCGCTGCACGGCACGACCGGCACGTGGTACGTCCGTCTGCATTTAATTCCAAGACTGGCATTTGGGAACATTGCCGATACTATTGTATAACTAATGAACACAATAGACCATAAACCTATAATACTAATTCGGTTAGAATTCACGTGCGATAATATTATAATATAGTATTATGCGTCAAGCCTTGCCAACTATGGGACGGGCAAAGTATGAATGTATATGCATCTTAAGACCGTTATTGTACAATGATCCTCTGAATTTAGAAGTCTGACTAATACTCTAGTATAATATTATACAAGTAAGCAACGTGTAATAATACTATATGTACAGTGTCACATCGGTGTACACGAAATGCCACTGATGTAATCGTAGTATCGCATAGAGGTGTGAAATACAAATTTAGGTGCAGGGCAAACAAAAGTATTGTTATCAAGTATTTTTAAAACGTGAAAAGTAGGTATATCTAGCATTTCATTTTTATACAACTTGAAAAATATAAAAAAACGTCTGAAAATAGATACCCGATAAAAAAACAGACACTACAAGCCATTAGCGTCGGAAGCTTATGGTATAAACTATACAAAATTGACTTTCTCTTATGTAGGTATGAAAATAACCTTGGTAGGTACCTACCTATATGAAGGTTTATTCATTTTTTTTGAAATTGTGTATTATCAAATCAATTTCTTATAATTTAGTATTACGAATCAATACTTTTAATCCAACAACATTTTAAAATTTAGGTACTTGCGAAAATAGTTGATATTACAACCTTAATTCAACTTAATTCTTAACTTAAGATAATAATAAATATCAAACTTTGCATTTCAGACATCATATTTTAAATAAATGTACTCGAAATAAAATTTAGCATCTCTGAAAACATTGTAAAAATATAAACATTAAATTTGTATTTTATAATCGATTCTAGAAATACTTGTATTTTTTGGCCCACTTTAACCTATGTACAAGCTACTAAAGAATTGAATTTCAAAAACTTTCGTGTAGGTACCGTCGAATAACAGTTGTGTCCTGAGTGTCCCAGTGGATGCTTTTATTATTTTTACACGAATACTACAGCTTTCCATTGATATTTGATAGCACAAAATATACGAATTTTTAATATTTCCGTCCTACTCGCTCTCACTGTACAATAATATGTACAATATTACATATTATTGTATAGTGTTTATGTTTATGTGTGACGTGGGCGACTCGCGTGATTCAATCGCAATACGATACATCGAGACAGGAACAAACTCGACGTCATTATCTAATATATATTATATACATTATTATAGGTTCCCACACAACCATTGCGACGGGTGTCATGTCCGTCCGATTGAATAATATAAATATTACACTTATTGCATGCGATTGTTTAATGTCGCGGGGGCTGTCGCCTCGGATCGCGTGCTATCCGTTTTTTGAGGCTCGCTGCATTATTTACGGAACTATATCGGTAAATATACTTAGTTTGGGTGCTTTGAAAACCGCGTTCAAATTACGGCCACCAGCTCGACTCTCGAGCGTGAGAGTTTAACGTGAACACACGCACTTATCGTTAGAATTGACGAGAAACATTTTCACACTAATAATTCTCACAAAAACCATGTCCACGTCGATGCATTGTAATAATAAGGTTCAATTACGACGTCATTACGGTCGTGTTTTTTCTGACACGAAATATCGAGAAAAGCGTCGTTATCACACACAACGTTATAATATAATATTAATAAATTGATAGAAACCTGTTAACTATTTGGATTTAAGATTTGACACAGCGTGACATCAATTAATATTTTATATCGGTCATCGACAACAAATCGAAAATCTGGGCACTAAAAGATATACAGTGATATTAATACGCATGCACAGACGACATTGTAACAATAACGGATCTTGTCCTATAATACCAGTGGTGTATATATTTCGGGGGAAGGGGGAGGAGGGCAAAAGAGAATAATCCCCCTTTGCTCTGAAAAATGCCTTCTTTAGAATTTAAATTTTTTCAACAAACAAAATGGTAAATCCTTGAAAATAAATTATTTCTTTAAAAATCTTGTTACTTTGGTTCTAAAAATGTTTTAAAAAAATAATTACATTAGAGTAAAACGATCAATATTATGTGATTTATTTTTATTTTTTTGTTATTATATTTTTGTTTTTGTCAACACCTAAACGAGTATTAAAAACGATTAGAGTAAAGTAGCAAACATTTTTTTACGTGTTATTGATTTCAAAATGTTGACGACATTTGATATTTTAACAAAAAATAAACACATTTTTCATCACTGCGTATATTTTTAAGATACAAAATGTTAAGATTGGTTTTAAGTTAGGTATAACATTGACCTATTCACACCATTCGTTGGTTAATAACAGCTAGTTATATTTTATGAAATAACATTATAATAATTATAATACTGGACTTAGGTTATATGATATTTATTTTTGGCAAATAGAAAAATAAATTACTTATAGCAATATTAATATATCATAAATATTATATTATCCTTAGAATAATAGGCTGACAACCGTCTCTTCTCGGAATTGTTTTTCGTATGCGATGATTTATCGTCGAATTAAAATTTAACACATCCATTATTACAATGATTTATTCAATGAAGAGTCGATATCTCTACTATGCTTCAGCAGAGAGACTGCCCCAATTTCATTTTTAAAATTTATAACCTTCAATAATCGTGGGCCAGATAATATTACACAAGGTATATCGGCTTATTAAATAAATTATTAAAGTATGAAAACTAAAACTAAATTTCCAGGGGTAGTTTAAAAATAATTTTGGTCCCTCACCCTCTACTGGTCATGTTACTATCTTAAATTAATTTTACGTTACATGGCCATGTTTTTTCGTGTGTATGCTTATAACTATGCTGTATGCCTGTGTCTAATACTCATTTAAAGTAGTTTGTTAAAATTACAGTAACTTTTTAAAGGCAAATATTTTGGTGCGGGAAACTTGCATAATAATAATGTACACGATTATACTGAGAAAATTGATTTGTAATAACTTTCTATTATATTTAAAAATGCTCATCTTGTCATCAGTATAATATATTGTTATATATTTGATTGTCATTGTGTCGAGAACTCGGGAATCGGGGTATAATTTACATATTGACGGGCTGATATGAACATGAATCCACTATAAATTATACTTTAATCTTTCGGCAGGACCTTACGATAACAATATTTATTATTTATTATTAAGTTTCTTGATTAATAAATGCTTGCAAAATTTTTCCAAATTATTAGTGAATAAGTTATTAAATTAAGTTTGCATGAAGTTTTCGTTCGTATTAAATATTATAGTTAATAATAATTAAGTGGAACTAATTATTTAATTTTCGCATGAATTAGACAGATCAAAAAGTAAAAGTACCTATGGTTACCCACATAATTTATTTTATCGTTATTTCCTATCCATTGTTTTAGTACCTACCCAAATTGCTATATGTTTAAAATACTCGTATCCTATACCGTGTCTATTTCGGCGTCTATCTTAGTGTTCAGCTTACTATAGTTTTTGTTTAAAAACTGTGATACCTACCTTTTTTTCAATTTAAGCAAAACTTATTAGATGCTATATGTATGAATTAATAATAATATTTTTTCTACGTAAAAAACAATAATTGTTGAAACGGTTAGATTAAACTACCTATACAGTATACGTAGACTGCAGTAGATATAGCTAGGTAGTGTTATATGTGATATTAATAATATGTAATTGTTTAGTGTGAGTGTGATTTTTGTTTGCTTATTTTAATTTTAACATTTTTTATTTTTTTTTTATAGTTATATCCGTCGTTGGATTTGTTTTGTGGGCCGTTCCGCTTACTTAGCAGGTGGCATGAACATGGTTATTAAGGGGGTGAAAGCTTCTCGTCAGGAGGCCCCCTTACTGGTCATTGCTCCTCATTCCACGTTCCTTGACTCTTGTATAAGTTACGTGACTGGTTTCCCTTCTATCATCTCGAGGATCGAGGATGGACTTAACCCTTGGGTCGGAAGTACGTGTCAACGCAATACAATCTATAACATAAACAATCATTTAAAAATTACTCGTTAAAAACAAAATATAATCGTGAAAATAAATTATCGAAAGAGAGACACAGAATAATTGTGTTCTTATAACAAAGCTGCAAAGTTAAAAGTAGTTTCCAGTCGTAAACTTGTTATTCACACGTTACAAAGTATTTTATGACAAATACGACGACAATGCATGTGCATATATATTGCAGTAGATACAAAGTAGTCATCCGTAATAGATTATTAATATTTGCGTGTGTGAGTGTGTTTGTATTTTTTGTAGATAATATAACTTCCATATAATAATATAATAATATAGTATACTGGCTATAGTGTATTGTATACCTATACTTTTTAACGCTCTGATACTCGCGTAAGTACTCTTCTCACAGACGTAATAAGATATCTATTTATTACAAAGTCGGGTGAAAAAAAATCCGCGTATACCAGCAAAATATGTTGCAAAGTTTTGCTCATATCATTTTTTACTGTCCTACAGGAGTAATAAACTTCACGCAGCCCGTGTACGTACGAAGAGACGACCCAGAATCGAGACACAACACAATACAGGAGATAATTCGCCGTGTAAAATCCGACCTAGACTGGCCTCAGGTAAAATACTTTTCCATCGAAATAATTCCATATCTGCGTACTGGTATAAAAATATACAATTCATTTTTATGATTTGTATATAATATAAATATATTATGCGACTTATCTGTTGCATGTATCCTCATTCCTCGATTAATTAATAATGATCGACCTTCGCGAATAGATTAGCAGACGTTTGAAATAAAGTTATTTTAGTGTATTGAAATATACGCATAAAAAAAAATCAAAATAGGTATTAAATACGATTTTGCTATACGGTCTGTAAACAGTTTTTACTAAATTTAACTGATTTTCGGTTATTAATGAGTTTCCATTGTAGGGAGATGTAAAATATACGTGATTTAAGTCATACGAAACTGCTTTGTTCCGTTGTAAAGAGATTTCCGTCTTATAGAGGGTCTGTTATCTGTAAATGCATATGGATAACATGTTAGTGACTACTTTAACCTATTAAGAACTTGTCTAATCCTTTTCTAGATCCTAATATTCCCGGAAGGCACTTGTACGAACCGATCGTGCTTGATAACGTTCAAGCCGGGTGCCTTCTATCCGGCAGTGCCTGTTCAACCGGTCCTGTTGCGGTACCCTAACAAACTGGACACCGTCACCTGGACGTGGGACGGTCCTGGAGCGTAAGGGAGACACACTATATTTAAATATTATAAGACTATAGAATTACCATGTTCTCGACATGTGTATTATATTACGTCCCTGTATCGTGTTTAGATTGAAACTCTTGTGGTTGACTATGACACAGCCGACTACAACGGTGGAAGTGGAATTTCTGCCGGTGTACGTGCCCAGCGAATACGAAAAACAGAATCCAAAAGCGTTCGCCGAAGGCGTTCGTAACGTGATGGCCAAGTACGCATACACCATACAATATATTAAGTATTAATATTAAATTGTATGATATCATATGTTACACCGGATATATTCATACCCCCGGGGGTACGATTTTCCTAGGTTAATAGTACATCTGATAAAAATTGCCTAGGATATTTATTACCTACCCCCTGTTAAATTATATACCAGTGGAGTAAAAATATCCTAGGAGTATAGTTCTTCGTACGAATACCTAATCTAGGAAATTTATTTAACCACGGTACCTACCTATAATATATTTCTATAGGATATATATACCTCCCAGCATTTTATGCCAAATATCAAAGGAAATTTTGTTCACCCGATAATATATTTCTTCAGTTTATACGTCATAACATTGAATGTTATTGAGTATTTAAATTTAATATTTATGTATTCGTGTACAATAATATAATTTGGCTCGTTGGCTGTTTTATTTTATTATAAATATGTATCTAAATCTAATCTACAGTTGTATAAAATAATTTAAACTATATATTTAACTTTGGAGAAAAACTTATTCTTATAAAATGTGGTGATCTTAAACTGAGCTAGGCGAGGAAACTTTTTTCAAGTCCTCGTTAATTTTTTTGGATGGTATTTAAGGCTAAATTCTAGCCTCGCTCTTAAAAATTGAAACATTATCTGTGGCTACAAGTATTATTTTGCTATTCGTTACACGCGATGATTGTGTTAAATTACCAATCAATATATTACGTATATTATGATGTGATCTCTTTTAAGTATTATTTTCTTTCTAGAGTTGTCTTCACCGATCGTTTTGTTCGTATTGTTTCAGGGCACTGGCTGTTCCTACAGCGGACTACACGTATGACGACTGTCGAGTGGCCGTGAAAGCTGGTCAACTGGGTCTGCCGATGACCTCGAATCTGATCACCGTCGAAAGACTTAGAAGTCGGCTAGGGTGAGAGTATTATTAGTGCAGATAGACAGTCGTCATAACACTGTTAATTGCAGTTATAGCTATATTAATATATAATTGCATAGTAATATAATATAATTATTATTTTAATATGGCGACACTCGTTGGCGTGATGACACGTGAATCATCATCACACGGTGATAAATGTTTACAGCAGCAAAACTATATATATATAATAATATTATTAGTCATATTGAAAGGTTCCGTTTTAGTTTGCGTAGTAATAATAATAAATAATAATAATAATAACGTGATCTGGCACACTGCACAGCGATGGCTGCTGTCATCGTGCTAATAATAAAAAAATCTCTTCACGTCATCGTCACGGTCTTGCAATATTTTTTACAACGTCACTTGTCGGTAAGGTACATATTTGTCTTATCTGTTGTACTTCTGCAATTTACAGATTGACTCGAATTAAGATCGAGGACTCGGCTCTGGTCAAGAACATGCTGTTGTTTCAGAATCGAGAGTCTCAACCGATAGATTTGGCAGAATTCGCAAACAGTTTGAACGTCACCGCCGAGGATGGTTCACTGGTCAGCCTCTTCAAAATGCATCTTGAGGTAATATCTGAAGTGATAGGCTATAATATACTTTATAGCAGTGGTTCACAATCGGCTACAGTGAACTGACTTTAGATGTACCGCCAAATCATTGAAAGTATAAAGCATCTACACATATTATAGCGTGTGGGGTGCTCCGGGATTTTTATAGAACACCCAAGGGTACCACGGACAAAAAAAGGTTGACAACCACTGCTCTATAATACACTTATATTTATAAGCATATTATATAATATATAAATATATTTCAACGTCGTCTCGTCAAAAGTTATCAAATGGTTTTTACGGTTTGATAACGGTTAGTTTCAAATTCAAAATTAAAATATTTATTTTGAAATAAAAAAATATTATCAATGTTTATAATATGTATACGAAACTTATATCTTTAGAGCCGTGTAAATATACCGATTTCTAATAATTGTTATTACCTAATTGTTGCTATTGTTTTATTTTGATTAATATGTCTATTCTCTCAAAAATATTAACCGGATCGTTGCCAATTATTTCGAAACATTATGAAGTTGATAAAAAATCAGGTTGATATATTAAGTATCGAACAAACAATAAGCAAAAATGCAGGGGTTGGTTAGGTTAAAAACACAGGCAGGTTTTTAGTTGTTTGGGATTTATGCCCCCAAAGCTCAGATTAAGGGGGAGGGGGCATAGGCCCGGGCCCACAGCTGATGACGATCAGTAGTGGGCCTCTGGGGGGTATAGTACATTTTTTATAATATATGGATAATGGATATATAATTATTATTTGGCCCCGGGCTGAAAATTATCTTAATCCGGGCTTGAATACCCTCAATGCTCACATTGATGTTAAATATGTTAGTCCCCCTTGAAATTATAATGGTTTCCACCAATCGCAGACTGAACCATTAGTTGTATTAATTAAAATAAGGGCATTAAATAAATCATTTATATAGGTAGATATGTTGAGATAGCCAAGGTAAGAGGGACCACACACGAATATATTATTAAGACAGTATTGCACACGGCATACGTGGCATGATATATTAATTACTATTAATAAGTGTCACAAGGAAAAGTTGATAAAAGAACTGTTGCGAATACTTAAGTGGGACCACCTTGTGAAAGGCCATGTAATCTGACTGTTTGTCTAGTATATAAGGGCTCTCCATCAGAGAGACCAGACACATTATTTCTAC